ATAAAAAGGAACACAGACTATAATAAACATTTGCCCCATATACACAAGACAGGGAGAGGGTCATATAAATGTTGTATACCTGAATGTCCTTGGCAATCTTGGCCCAGTCATCAGTCGTCATGTTACAGGAATCCAGAAGAGGAGAATATTCTAAGATACTGTACACAATCCTTTTGTTCTGCTTAGATAGACTGAAAAAGAAGACCGACAAATATAAATTGAGTGTCATCACGCAGTCATTGCGTTCAGAAATGTACTAGCGGTATATGGGCACCTCTTCATATTCTATTACTCAGGGGTGTGGAAATTTTGGAAAGGACTAAAGCAGGGGCCGAATCTACGAGTCCCTCATGACAATCTACTTGTCCTGATACAAAAAAAAATTATTTTAACCAAAACCGTATTGAGCAGTGCTAAGAAGCGCTTCTCATTGGTCAGTGCCGTCAGGTGACTGCGTTGACCAACGAGTGCTTGGAATTTGCGAGCGAAATTCAGAATACATAGAACAGGTACAGATAGTACACCTGTACAGGTGGACGGGAAGGACCATTTGCTGAAAGGTAAGTATAGTGGAAGATTTGTGCGGGTAATTCCATTTTCCCAAATTACTTGGGAAAATGAATTTACCCTTTAGGGTTGGTGCAGACCTGCGGATTCCCGGGACGTGCGAACGTGTGCGTTGGCATACAGCGGTTGCATCCGCATATATGGGGTTACATCTGCGTGGCAATCGCTGAAAAAAGGTAGATGTACCTATTTTCACGACATGCACCGTGCAGCGTTTTCAACTGTGATCGCCCGCGGCGGTATTGCAGTAGGAAAACGCGCACTCTGCCTGCAGATGACTGGGGTGCCATTAGAATATAGTGGCACTGACAGCACGATCGGCGATGGTGTGCGATTCCGTGACCACCCAGCCATCCGCTCGGTTTCGTGCACGATGGCCGGGCAGTCACGGATCGCACACCACTGCCGATCGCGCTGCCAGTGCCATTATTTTCTAATGGCACCCCAGTCGTGCCAGGCAGATTGCACGTTTTCCTGCTGCAATACCGTCCTGCCCGTGCGGTTGCACACGATTGCAGTTGAAAACACTGCGTGTTTATTTGCGTGCAGATGGGGGCAGTGGGGCTGGTTTTAATTGTTTCTATTTTTATTTACTTTGTAAAAAAAATTAATTTGTTATTATTTTTACTTAATCGCCTTTTTATTGTTTACATTTTTATTTAGTTAAATTTTTAATTAATATTTTTTACTTTTTCTTTTTAACTATTTAAAAAAAAAAACTTAACTGTATTGCTATCACACAGGGAATAATAATACCCTGTGTGATAGCATTTGGAGGTGACAGGTACTCTTTATTGACCCTGTCACCTCCAACACAGGAATTCTAGCACAGCACTGTTGCTAGAACTCCTGTGACAGGAACGAGCAGCGGCCGCCGGGGACTGAGGCTGAGGGAGGTGACAGAGCCTCTCACAGCTCCACCGTCCGGCTTCGTCACTGCTCCGTCACGGCTCCACGCCCCGTCACGGGCCCACGCTCTCTGCTCCGTCCCCACCTCTCAGCGATTCATCCACGCCCCCCGCTCCGTCCACCGCTAAAAGAAAACCAGCCCTGCTACTTGTCCGTAGCAGGGCTAAAACAGTGCAAAAACCACTTGCCCGGCGCCCGGAACTACATGCCCCGGGCGTCGGGCGATACGAATTCCACACCCCTGATTACTGACGCAGGTCACCGCAAGGACAGATAGAAAACAATTGCTTTCTTTGTGTCCCATTCACACCACAACATAGTAAGCGGTGCGCTGTGATAAATTCTGAATTTTATTGCTGCACACTACAGGTCGCCACACCTGGCTTTGGATTAAATTATTTAATGAGGATCAAGTGTTAAAATTTATTGACAAAGTAACATTAACATTTAATAAAAGGACCTTATTATTGGAATATCCCTTTCTCTAAGGGCTGCCAAATCGTCGGTAAGCAGGACCTCCAAGAATCATATTTCCCCATCTCATGACACTGCACAGAGCTTGAGGTAACATTGCATGCATCCTCAGTGTCCTAAAGCACACCCATGATTTACCCATGCTGTTCAAAGCAATGGGTCTGCTTTAATGGATCTTCCACCCCAACTCAACCCAAGCAGCACATTCACCTTTTCTTCCTTACCCCACAGTTAAAGGGTTATTAAACCCTCAGCGTGTTTTTGTATATATCTAGTGCTAGCAAGCTGGTGGAACCTATGGTGCTGCTGTGGCGGAACCTATGGTGCTGCTGTGGCGGAACCTATGGTGCTGTTTTGGCGGAACCTATGGTGCTGCTGTGGCGGAACCTATGGTGCTGCTGTGGCGGAACCTATGGTGCTGCTGTGGCGGAACCTATGGTGCTGCTGTGGCGGAACCTATGGTGCTGCTGTGGCGGAACCTATGGTGCTGCTGTGGCGGAACCGTAGTGGAACCTAAGGTGTTGCTGTAGGTCTATGGCGCTGCTGCGGACATCTGTGTTTAGCCCTGGTGAGACACTGTCCTGAAATCATAAGTCTATGTTGTTTTAGAAAAAAATGTCACATGTCCCTTTAAGAAAAAGTATCGGTAATTGGTACCGGCGAGTACCTGAGGGCAAGTACTTGGTCTTAAAAAAGTGGTATCAGGACATCCAATATATTTATCTCTGGATCTGTTTTAACAAGGTGTTGTGAGTGAAGGTGGCCCCTGCTTTTATGATGCTCCGTCGTATGTTACATCTAAGCTTTGTGACAAGTTCACTTTTGTTTAAAGGAAAGGTTACTTTTAGCCACATACTTCAAAACAATAACTCATCCTTTACATCCGCAGATTATAATAGAAGTAAAACACACACACACATGCTCAAAAAAGATGCAGCTGCATAAAGACAATTCAAATATACAATATCACATTTGTGAACCAAATCAGAGGCTCCAGCGGCGTGCTTAACGAAGAAATGTCTAATTGGCATATGCTAACAAGCTCTCCCCTCGGGGGAAAGAGAATCCCATCAACTGATAGGCAAGTAGACCTGAACAGCTTTTCCATCTCCCAAGATCCACAGTTAATTAATGATGCTCCACATCTGAGTAAGGCTCCCCAGGTCGAGGGACCTCATGTGACCCCAAAGGCTGAGCAGCAGCACTGCATCACTAAAAAGGCCCTCAAGTGGAAGGAATCCAGGGGATTTTCTCCCTAAACTCACCGCCCAATGGGAGACAAATACTTTCCTTGCATGTAGAATATGCTTAATGTAAAACCTAGCCTTGGTGCAAAGGTCATTTACTATGCAAGAGTCTGCAGGCAGATAAGAGAAAAAGCTAATACATTCTGGATTGTCATATTTAAACCATACATGTTTAACCCCTTCATGACTGAGCTTGTTTTTAGTTTCTGTTCGTAAATGACTGGCACATTTTTGCTGTGTGATTCTTCCACGTCAGTAATATACTTTCTTACAAAGTGCACCCATACATATTATATATTGTTTTTTTAGAGGACAGATAGGGCTACATATTTATATCACATATGTGTGTCTAACGCCTCACTTAGGACAAATAAAATATTAAAAAAAAGGAGGAAAAAAAGTTAAAAAAAAAAAAACACTTTTTCCCCAGTTTTGATTTGTAGTATTTTTTACAAAACCAGCACAGCTAAATAAAAAAAATGCAATACCGTATATACTCGAGTATAAGCCGTCCCGAATATAAGCCGAGGTACCTAATTTTAGCCAAAAAAACTGGGAAAAAGTATTGACCCGAATATAAGCATGTCACGTAGAGTGTACGTGACGAGTCATTTGGTCCCTTTGTAAAGTAATAGCAGAGCATGTTTCAGACTCACCGACTCAGACAGAGCTAGCAGAGGGACGAGTCACTGCTCTGACTTATTCCCTTTTGTGTAATATTTAACCTTCAGCTATTGAACACTGTATCCAAATGGCAGATAAGAACAGTGTGGAAAAAGTAGTGAAAAGGAGTCTAAAACTTTAGCTGCTGGCTGAAAATGAGTGTACAAAATATTCACATGTAATATTCATATTTTCCGGTCTTTAAAGCCGACCTTGCACTACAAGGTCCACTTATTTACTTTGCCTTGGGATTGGTCAAATATGTGTGAGTTGCTGAGTTCCCGATCTATAGAGCCGACGTTTGACAGCTTCAGTGTCACAGGTCGGCTTGAATTATGGGAATGAATGTATTTCACTCTCCCCATAATTCTCCTTTAGGTGTTATCGTCGGTTTTTAACAATTAACCCGATATCTAACTGTGCCACCACTGGAAGATTTCCTATCACCTCCTGTTCCTGTGACAACTCAAACATTTAGAATTTCCCATCACTTTCTGTACTGGGAACAGTGGTCACCAGGACCAATAGTGAAGGTGAATCTCTCCAGCAAGGTATAGTCATCATTCCTCATCTCCTGTCCCAGATAATATTCTCACACATCACACGCACAATGAACATTAGCAGTTACGTACGGTAGAACCAATGTGGTTTCCGGGAACTCGTGGAACTCATACAGCTTGGTCTGCTGGGCGTATTGCTCGTCATGAACTATAGGAAGTTTCTTCAAGGTCTTAACAAACGCGTTTGCCTGAGGGGACAAGACTAAAAACAAAAAGACACAACATGAAACACATGAGACACAAACAGCATTTTCTCATCTCTGCTGGACATGAGGCATTTAACAATTGAAATGGAACAGTCAGAGCCTGAGGTGACCTTGCGCTCTCCTTCCCTTACCCAAACCAAGACAATGGTGGCAAAATCCTAACAGCTAGAGTTATTTTACCCGTTAGCTGGCCACAGACTACAATAAAAGCATAACAGAATAATCACAAGTCTTGCTTGCCATTATGGGGCATTTACAGCATCTAGGGCAGTAAGAGGCGTCCCCTTAAGAGCAGATTCTGATCTGTCAGTCACTCTTCTCATTAAAGATCACCAATACTGGTCGCCGTCTATGATCAGACGGACTTGTGACCAATTTCTAGAGAGAAACGAAAATGGACAAAATGATTAATGACCTACAAACCGCCCCAAAGTGTGGAGTCCACAATGTCAAACTCACGTAAGACTCAAAAAGTCAGTCATTGATCATTTTGGCCAACTCCTTGACTCGTCAAATCTTTTATGCAGTCAAATCAAACCATTAAAATCACCTAAAACCTAAGTACACAGATGACATGCATAAGAGGGACCTGGCAAAGCATATCAACTGCTGTCCATCCAGTCCCGAGAAGTACACAGCACAGCCATTAGGATGACACACACACACTTTCTCTGTTACAGTTAAGTGATACAGTTGTGTTATTGCCCCATCCCCAGACTGCTGCCTCCACAGTGAAGGGGCAATATCACACTGATGAGGTTATCCCTCTGCTCACTCTTCCGATCATTGTGCCATGTTCCTTGTGGGCACGTATATATGTGGCAAGCTTGAATGGCTCCAAGTTCTGCCCCTTCTACCAGTCTGAGCTCTGCTCTACAGGGGGACTTCTAAGAGCCTCAAATTAAGTCAAATTCAGGTACTTTCAATGGTTGCATTAAACAAATCAATTATTTATCAATGAATATCTATCTTTGTTGCATTTGCCGGAAGCTCTGTGTAAAAACGATGCATTCAGGGAAAGGAAATATTTTTGGGTATTGGGAGGAATTTCTGGTCATCTTACAATGAAAAGCAAACACACATTATCACAACGCATGTCTGAAGCATTATAAAACATTCTTGAAAAGCGGTCATTTTACAGATGAATTTTGCTTGGAGTGGAACGCTTTAAAAATCTGCTCAGTTCGAGGCACAGTTGCACAAGCCTATGGTAGGCATCTCTAAACGCCAACAGAGATTGATTTCCCGTATATTCATGGCTACCAAACAAACCATTGCCAGGTCCTGGAAGTCAACCATTGTATGACGGGAACAACGCTTAACAAAAAGTTAACTGCAATTTTTCCAGATTCCCATACACAATTTGGAGAGGATTTTGGGACCATGGATATCCTATGCCAGTCCACACCATTTTGATCCTGCCTTGATAACTTCTAGATGGATAATGTTGTCATTACATGCACGGCCCACTTGAACCCCTTTCACTTCCCTGGCCAGAAGGGCAGACCTTTTGTCTGCGAGACCTTGCTGCTTTCTAAACTCACTTATGTGGTCTGAATTTCTTCTCTTGCCTATTTCTTCTTCCTGGACCCTGTTTTTCTTTTCTTTCTGCTCTCCGCTTTCTTTTCTTTCTAAACTTCATCTTTCCTTTCTTCTTACCCCTCTTCCCCCATTAACTAAATATGTATCGCCCCTGACTGTCAGGATTTGTTAGTTGCAGGATTGGAATTTTGGCCCCTTGGAGCCCCTTGGTTTTTCACTACCTTAGTAGGTATAACTTACATGAGGAGCCCGGCATGGTTATGGGGGCACCTTGTTTTGTCACTACCTTCCGTTTTACTTGCTCATGGAATGATAAGCGCTGTTCAAACTGTTGGCGCTATATCAAACCTGTATAATAATAATAATTTGGCTGTCTTACTATAAGCTGGTTGATGACTTTGTACCACTGGATTGCATATGGCTGCTGCGTCAGCTAATTTTCCTTACTCTGATCCTGTATACGGTTATCGCTTTCTTTATTGGTAAACCTAATAAAAAAAATTTTGTTAAAGAAAGCAAAAAAAAAAAAAGTACTCAATTCTTCCTAAATGTATGCACACAGGATGCACGTCCTGCTTAGTGCTTTACTATTCTCCGTGTGAACCTATCACTCCACTCAGACTTTCAAACTTGGACAGGGAAATGACAGATGAAAGACAACTTGAGATATTTTTATTACACGTTTTATACAGAACTGAATATGTGACTTGCAACAAACTATCACCTCTGCGGTTGTTCTGTACAGCAGAGAGCTACAGAGAACTACACTGCTTATACAGACCACTAGAGGGAGACCTGCAGATCTGTATATGATAATATGGACCATAAAATTTTTTTTACTTTAACCCAACATGTGCGCTCACCCCACCTGTATACACTACTACTCCCTCCACTGCTTACTCTGCAGCGAACATGCATTCAGATTTCACAATACAAATCACTAGACCTCTATATATAATAATGGGAACGTTTTTGTTTTGTATTTACGCTGTTGCTGTATATTGTGACATCTCAGGAGTTGATCAATGATGCAGACTTGTGAAATGACTAAAAGGGCCACTGTAAAGTCGAAAGGTCATTATTACATCAGAACCTGCGATTACAATACTCCCGTTTGACTTGAACCCATTACTCACACAGCATACTGAGGAACACTTTCCTCCACACACGTTAGTCATGTCGCATGTTCGGAAACTTATTCTGCTGTACAGACTTGCAGTCAGATTGCATCAGACAAACATAGAAGCGGTTCATTAGTGGCAGACGTCAGGCAGGGCACTGCCAGCAGTCATGGCCTCCAAGGCTTATGTGATTATACTGCACAAGTCATTATTTTGAATCTTTTACAACTTGCTCAGGTGTGCATAACCAATTGCTTCATACTTCAAAATTAAACATCATGCTCCGTATTCTACCCAAAGAAAACCCACAACCTCCGCCCTATTGTACGTGTTATACGCATTCATCACCATCATTAGTTCAGTTCTTGTAAAAGTTACAAAATTAGGAAAATTCTGGGTAAAAGAAGTTTAAAAATAGAAGCCCCAGCCAGTGTTTAAATAGAAAGTTGCAATTTTTTCCTCTTCTTTAGTTGCCCCCCCCCCCCACAACCCACCACCACCACCAGTAGTCCATCTTCCCCTCCACCACCAGTGGCCTGGAGTTGGGATTTAAATGCCACATTATCTGTGCCATTTTTGCAGATATCATGTGTTTCCATAAATCTACTCCAATGTGCTGAAGAAAAAGCCCAACCCCCTCGCAACTTGCAGGACTTAAAGTGACACTAAACTCAGGAGTTAAATCTTAAAAATACATTCCCCTATTAACAAAAATGTATCTTATTTGTGTGGCACTCAGTTGTAGATCCTCAAATCATCTCTGAACTGGTGCTGACACTGTCCTTCCTTCTGGAGGGTGACTACTTTTGTTCCCCATGGTCCCTGTGTGTGTTGTATAGTGGTCACCGCTCCAAGCTCGCTCCTGTGATGGACTACAAGCTCATGTTTAGTTTACTAATTTGTATTGAGATTGTAGTCCATCCCAGGAGTGAGCTTGAAGCGGTGACTACTTTACAACACACACAGGGACCATTTGGAACAAAAGTAGCCACCCTGCAGAAGGAAGGACAGTGTCGGCACCAATTCAGAGATGATTTGAGGATCTACACAAATACACAAATAATGCTGATAAACAACTAATGCTGGCTTGTGAGTGTGCTGGGAAACTTTTTGCTATTGGTGATACACAAAAAAGTTACAGTATTGTTAATAGTTAAGGTACCTGAATGCATTCTTAAAATTTAAAGGAGAACTATGAGGTGAGTGATAGCTAGAGCCAACCTGTGACAAAGAGGCTGTCGCAGGTGGGCTCTATCGATCAGGAACGGAGCAGAAACATGCCGCCAATCCACTCACTTCCCGATCGTCTCTCTGCAGTGAGCGGCGACTGTCAGTCACTGCTCCCCGCAAGGATTCCCCCCTCCCCTCTCCTATCCTCCAACACTGAATGGAGGAACGAACAGGGGAGGGGGCGGGCACAGCTAGGTCTGCCTCTAGATAGGCAGAGCCCGCTGTCACTCACAGTATTGTCAGGATCCGACCCGGCTGCATCGCTCTCAGTATATAACAGGCAATAGCTCGCTATATACTGAGCTTTGGGTCACGCGAGGAGGTTAGTATATGTCCTTCTGTGACCCTAAAAAGAATGATGGGGAAAAACACTTATCCCATAGTTCCCTTTTAACTCCTGAGTTTAGAGTCACTAACATCACAAAGAAGGCGGAAGCTAGGCAGGATTTGTAAGCACGTAATTAGCAAGTTATGCTCTTTGAATGGGAACATGTAACTAATATAAAAGTGGGTGTTTTCCCAATTTGGCTTGACAAGTGGAAAAACACTTTATGGCAACTCAGTGAACCATGTCATGAGGACAGAGGTCATTGACTGATCATGCAACCTAACCAGAATTGGAGACCCTGCATGACATGGGTGTGTAAAACTTCTTGGGAAGACAGACACACTGAACATTGGTTCAGGTCAGTGGACGAGTATTTTTAAACCCTTGGAGTAGTTTCTATTTTAGCTTCTGTGCTGTGTTGTGGCATATTAGTAATTCAATACTAAAGACACCACACGATACAGGAATGTATACAGTTACAGCTTACTAACACCGCAAAGCTTCCTTCATGCGGACTTCCAGCGTAAACAGAGAAAGGTCTGATCAATGTCATCCTGCCATAAACGTTTATCAGCTTATAGATTAAAATACAACCAAACGCAGATTATGGAAAGTGTGTCTTGTAAAAAAAAAAAAAAGCAGTTGTTCATGATAATAAAAACATAAAGCACCCATGAAAGACAACGAACTTAACTGCTGTCAAATACCTGCAATTTCAACAGCTGTGGACACCCATAAGCCATCTGTGGAGCAACCAATTTCCTTCCCAGGAGCA